CCTTCCAGTGACTTGAGCCGGGAAGGATGACAGAATGTGCTGTTCAGTAACCCCAAAATGGTCTCCCAGGTAAGACAGGATAGACTCCAGCCCCCCGCAACCCCAGTGAGCAATAAGCGGTTTTTGATAATGGATATAGTTTTAGGTCCCAAATAACAAATACGTCAACTCTGAACAAAATCTGAGATGGTGGAGGGACATGTTTCCTGAATTCTGCCTAAACTGACACAAACTGACTGGGAGTTTTTGCAAGATTTAGCAAACAAGTCTAAACATCTACTTTGTTGAAGGAGAACTCAGATTTTTTTCACAGTCTGAGTGATGATGACCTTTATGTGCAAAATATATGGCATGCCTCTTTGATATTGTTAAGTCAGAAATCTCACTCCTCTCTCCTTGTTCCCAGGTTTATCAGTGTGTGATATATAGCTGCTGTCTACCTGTGGAGGTGGCTGGTCGATGGCAGACACAACCTCAGCCGGGCTGCTCTCTGGACACTCAAAGTTCACACGGATCTTCTCCTGTAACAGACAACATATTTAAAGGCTGAAATCAATGTAGCTGGAGGATTGTGGAAGCAGTGTTGCATCAGCAGTGGTTATATTTATCTATGAAGCCATTCTTGAATTACACACGTGGACAAAATTGTTAATACCCCTCGGTTAATGAAAGACAAACCCACAACGGTCACAGAAATAACTTGAATCTGACAAAAGTAATAATAAATAAAAATTCTATGAAAATTAACCAATGAAAATCAGACATTTTTTTTTGAACTGTGTTTCAACAGAATTATTTAAAAAAATAAATTCATGAAACAGACCTGGGAAAAAAATGATGGTACCCTTAACCGAGGGGTACCAACAATCTTGTCCATGTGTGTATAGCTACCATATTTATGTAAGTTCATGAAGAAAAAATAGCTATGCTTGTCGCTTGAGGGCTCCTTTACTACAGTAAATTACAGTTATTAGTATTCCTAGTGTGCACTGAACCAGGTAAAAGATCTTAGCTGTGCGGCAGCTTCTGCAGCTTTAATATTGTAAAACTGCTGGTTAGGGCTGCTTATGTTGACTTTAGGAAAATTGCCAAAAACCACCATTTAACACTGCTACAAAACTGTGAAAAACAGTGACCTGACAAAAATTCAGTTTTCATGTAAACTGGAGGCTGTGATTTTTGTCGTGAGACCATTGTTCCCAGCTGAGTCACTAATGGCTTTAAATTATGAAATGATGACATGCAAGACAAAGTGATTCTGATGAAATGTCCCAATTTTAGCTTAGATGTGGTTAAGTCTGCACCTCGCGGATGAATAGCTAAAGGATCGTTCAGGTTTTACACTTTTTTACTTTCTGATAAATGGTGTAATTTGGTGATTTTTTTAAAGGTAACATGCCCTTTAAGCCTGCCAGCTGGTTGGTCACACTTAAAGTTTGACCTGGTGGTGGCACTTGATAAAAACTTTTGTTACAGTTCATCTTGAGGGGACACGGCCAAATGAAAATTAAAGACAATCCATCCGATTACTGTCCAGATATTTTCCTCTCAACCATAATTTTCAACCACATGGTGACACCAAAAGCAAAATCAGAGGAGCCATTCGGATTCATCCTCTTAGGACCATAAATACCTACATAAATCTGCAAATTTGACAAGAAACAACAAAAAATAATCAATGTCCATGTTACCTGAGCGTATCTGTCCAGTGTGTGTCTGAAGGTGTGGGAGTGGTAATGCTCCAGCAGCCTCTCCTGCAGGTAGTTGTGGCAGAGCTCAGACCAGGTGGCTCCTCGCTCCTCGGCAAAGTGTCTGGGGTTCCTGAGGCCCGGCGTATCCACCACCATCACGGAGGCTAACGTCAGCTGCTGCCCACTCAAAGCCCTGCACACGAAGTACAACTTCTTTTCCTGAGTATTCAGAGTTTTCCCTGGCTTGGAATGGGCCTTTATGGGGTGACTGTACCAAAGACTAAGCATGATCAGTCTGAATACAGTACGGGCAATGAGTCTGTGTTACCTTATTTGAAAGAAATATCTGCATCTTACTGTTATTGCTGATCATTTATAGTTGAATAAATGAAACCCAGATTAACAGAATTGATTAAAAACAACTTTTAAATTCTTAAATTGCACCTCTCTCCCTCTCTCTGCAAAGAGTAACTATGCAGGGAAAACCCCTGTATTATACAGGACTGCAACTTATATACTATAGAAGTAATGTACTGGCAGTGTTTTTTTCATGTAGTGCTGCCTCACCAACATAGAATGGCAAAACAAAACTCCAGGGGCCTCATTTATCATCAGTGCGTACGCACAGATATGTGCATAGAGAATGCGTACGAGTACAAGTATGGAATTTATCAATTTGTACTTATACTTAGGAATGTGCGTAAATATACGCACAACTCTGACAATGCGTACGGACATAATCTAGTGGTAGAATAGTGAAACTACAAATAGAAAGCATTCAGGGATTCTGACCACCGGCACATTCCAGTGTGAGATTGGAGACATGCAGCATTTCCAGCCATCACTGAGCAGGATTGGGTGCCATAATTTCCCTGGCTCCAGCCTACATCCAGTTCCCTAATAGCCATCATCAATGAGCCCAAATCAAACGGGGACTTCATGCCATCACTGGATTCCCAAACATGACTGGAGCCATAGACTTCACCCACATCGCATTCAAAGCGCCAAGATTAAACAAATTGAATTGCGTTAATACAAAGGGTTTCATTCAATCAACGTACAAATAGTTTGAGATGCACATTTGTGGCTATCAAACGTTGTTGCCTGGTGGCGAGGAGGAATGCACGACTCATTGATTGTGCAGAACAGCTCTTTGGATGTGTCTCCAAGCAGGAGCTGTTGAAGATGGCTGGCTTATTTGTGAGTGCTATAGAGTGTAGTATGGCTATTAAAACATTTCATCTGTAGGTGATCAGAGTTATCCACTGGGTGAACATTTGGTATTAGTTTGTCCTTCTTCAGTTGCAGTCATTTCTCTTTTTCTCTTTCTCTTCTCTTTTATGGGCTGTGATGCATTTTAGGGTTTTTTTTGGCACTGAGCTTAACGTCAAATGATTTTGGATAATGTGATAGAACTGGTTTTTAGAACCCATCTCTGCTCTTAGCATAGTACAGCTCAGATGCTAGACAAAAAAGTTTAAACTCTGCAACTAGTTTATTAATGTAGGGAAAACCCAGCACAACAGGTGCAGAGCTGCTGTGTTTAGTGTCTTGCTTGAGGACACTTCAATAAATGGAGAGAAGGATCTGGGAATGTGAAACATATGTACCTCCTAAGCAGCGACAACATTAGGTCTTAGTGTGCACTTAGTGTGAGGTGCATCTATACCTGTTGATGAGGGACACTACAGCAGTGAAGAGCTCCTCATAGAGTCCAGCCGCCATCCCATCAACACACTGAGTAGCTGTTAACCTGGGACCTGCACACAACAGAAACCAGACTGAATGAAGACCAAGGTCTCCCATTGTTAATACGTTTAACTTTACTAAATATAATAAAAAGCCCCAAAGACCTGTCAAATGGACTTAAGACTTCACTCATCAAAACAACCTCTTGTCTTAAATGTGTTCTCATTTCACTGGACCTTATTGAAAACGTATATAAATGGGAATATTGTTTAAATATTTTTCCATCCAACATGCAACTGTTACAGTTTAGTTTGGTAGGAGCTATTTATTCATTAGTTTAGACTACGCAGTTTAATGTTTAAACGTTAATTTCAACTTTCAACTGTTAGCCATACTTTTAGCTAACAATTTAAACTGTCTAGCTAGAAACACAGCCAATAGTTTTATGTATTAGCCATACTTTTAGCTGACAGTTTCAACTGCTAAACCAACCCAGTCTCACAGTAATTTGTGAAATAGGCATGAAACTTAATCTATTGATTTGTGTCCAGGGACACGAATTGCCCGATTTTTTCGTGTTCCCCAGCACGAATTTCAAACCAATACATTTCAATTGGAATTATCTTTCATGTCTGGGCCACGTTTTTTCCCCTATTAGACAGCGCATATGCTTGTTGTTTTCGTCGTTCTTTTCTTCCAACAGTCAGGCATTAACCAATTTTACTGTTATGGCCCATCCACACGAATAACTATAGAGATCACTATAAAGATGTGTGCGCCCACACTGACCAACGTTAACATTCTGTAAACACTGGCGCTGAGCAGGTACCTTGTGCTCCAGCTGCTTATAAACTCCGTATTCATTCAAACAGAAAAGGCAAAATATATCCAGGCAGAGAGAAGTTGTTCTGAGATCGCTCTGAAAGGGATCCCAACGTTCACAGCTATTATCGTTTATTTGTGATAAAATATAAGTGCTTTTACTCTGTTTGGGCTGCATGCTGTCGTTACTTTCATTTCTCTGTAAATGAGAAATGTAAACGTCTCTGCCCAGACACAAAAGATAATTCCAATTGAAATTTATTAGTTTTAAATTAGTGCTGGGGAAGATGAGAAAATTGAGCAATTCCTGTCCCTGGACACAAATCAATAAATTAAGTTTCGTGACTATTTCACGAATTGCCGTGAGACTGGGTTGGGTAAACACACTTTAAACTAACACTTTCAGGCAAACTATTCTAAGTCTTAGCATACTTTTAGCTACATTTAGCTATTAATTTTAACTGTTTATCCATACTTTCAAGTAACAATTTCAACTGTCTATCTTATTTTTAGCTAACTATTCTAACTATTTACTTTTTACATTACTTACGTATTTTAATCATTTATATGTTCCTTTTGGTCATTGGTTCCTCCCTTATTATTTACCTTTAATCTTCAATTAAATCCTAATTTCATCTTTTTGGGTGTCTCGAGTTATTCTTTCTACGTATCCCGAAGCTGTTGCAGAAGTAACCCCTGGGGTATACATAATTTCATGTTAGCTTTTAGCTTGTTTCCAATTCAGTTAGAAACCTTCATAATGTCACTATTTTTTTTAGTGGAATTCCGATATGTTGTTAGAAACACTGTACTTCAGTTAAACTAATTTGAGGTCAGCTAGACAAACAGTGCAGCATTTAGTTTGTGAGAGTTTTATTGCAGTAGCCTTTACTGAACATTTGGGGGTCTGCGGTGTGTCTCACCCTCCTCGGACTCGGCGGCAGGGTTTCTGTCTCTGCTGCTTCCAGTTGCTCTCTGCAGCAGCTGTCGGAGGTGATGTTTGAAGACGGCAGTGTGCAGGTCCTCTCCCTCACACCCAAGCACACTACTGGCCACCTGAGCGCTGTCAAAATTCACAAACTGCCTCCTGCCCACTGTGCAAGCAAAGGGAGAGGACATAATTATAACAAAGCCTGCTGAGAGAGACCATCGGTAGGTCGCTTTGTGGGTGTTTCCTGCAAGACCCTGAAAACATTTGGTATCAGTCATCATCTTGTTCTTAAACGCTGAAGTCATGCAGTTACATTTCTAATCGTCTTCTGCCAAAGTTCTTAAAGTTTTTGTTGTACTATCCCTGGATTCGTGATTCAGTCTGAGCTTGATGTGGGAATGTTGAAAAAGGCAACGTCATGTATTTCTGTAAGTTCAAGTTTTCTTCTGTTTTTTTTAAAGTAGTAAACTCTGAATCAATATGATGTAACCGAGGTAATAATGATAAGAACAACAGTAAAAAGAAGGGAAATTTGATGTTTAACAAAACCTTAAAAATATACCACATAAAATCAAATTTAAATGTAATAATGATTAAAATCATTATCAAATCAAATTGTACTCATACAAATATAAAATCTTGAAAATAGAGGGAGAATATAGGCAAGAAAAAAAATTGATTAATGTTTATCATTATTTACAATAATAAATTATTAGTAGAAAATATTACTTTTTATATGAAAGCATTCATTATATTTAATGGGCCATACATGATAACAATGAAACAATAAAACAATAATAACAAAAATGAAAATAATGAGCTGAAACCGTGACAATAAAAGTGAGAAAAAGATAAAAGAAAACCTAATAATTATTATTACCACTTAAAAAACTCAATCACGTTCAAACCACTGTAGCAAGGACATTTCTCTTGTACCTTTAAGGTGGCTCGCCCCTTCAAGGGACTGTTTGATGCCTCAGATTTGGTTTCAAGATTAGGAGCTCGAGAATTGGTTCATCATAAAAGGCCCTTATGAGCACACTGTGAGTGCATGTAGAGGACTTAGTGACACTCTGTGACTGCTGATGAATCCGTGTTACCTTTACAGGCCCCAGCAGCTCCCAGATGGTAAATACCAGCCAGAACATGCCATATCGCGTTCTGCTCTCCGGCTGAGAAGCCGAGCGTTTCCATGGCAGTCAGCAGCTTGGTAAAGGCGACGGACGCTCGCTGCTTCTCCTCAACCTGAGAGCAGAAAGACAGAGAGGGAGAATGGATGGTCTGTCTACTTTGTGTCTGAAAATCAGCAAGTTAATAGGGTGGAGTAACAGCTGAGTCACATCTCATCTCCCATCACAGCCTGAGTCTCTTCAAGATGGATCTCTTCACTGCGTGATTTTGCCACTTCAGATTCCCTTTTCTATTTTTGTTCCCTCAGTGCTTCACCCTTACATGAGCACTGTGGTCACAGGAACACACCGACATACTAGAGAAAGCTCTCATTTATTTGCACGCAGATTGAGGTGATGTAGCAATGTTGTTTGATGTCTATAATGCAACCAACTGAGCGTAATTTCTATAATTACCCAGTGGAATTAAGTAGCTATGATCCACAGAGAAAGGCCGAGCTATATTATGATATACACAGATCAACCACAACATTAGAACTCAGGACATTTATTTACTGCCAATACCGAGTCCCAATCTGATACTGTTTTCCCAGATCATCCACACTTCAAGTATGTTAAAGTTATTACAATCAATCCTCTGTATATGCTTGACCATTGCGTAGCTCTGTGAAGAAAAAAAAAATGCCTCTCTGCATCCAAGCTGTTTTTCAATGGTAGTCGGGAGGGATGCACCTTGTTGTAAGGCTCAGGTAGGGTACTGTCTGACAGGTAATGTAGAGGGGCTAGGATGTACTCTGGCGGCCCAAGGAGGTCCCTCAAATTACAGGCAGTTACATTTTGGTAAGCAAGGGCATTGTGGGGGTTTAGCTGGCAACGGGCACCACTACAAAGACTTCTGCTGGGATTTATGACCTCCGACCAGAGACCATATTAGGCTCATCCAGGGCAATGTGCCTACTGGGGAAGTCCTCATCAAGCATTTTTTTCCCCCAATCCAAGTCATTTAGTATGTAGTATCTACCAATACCAATGCCTAATCTCATCCCTTTTTTCGAGCTAATACACATTTCAAATACATTAAAGTTATTAAAATCAATCCAATGTCTATGCCTGACGAATGAGTAAGTCTGCAGTGCTTTAAGAAAAAACTACATCAGTATTCTCCACATGCATGTCAGAAAATCTGTTGTAGATTAGTTGTAGTACCTGGTTGTTTCACCAAGTGGAGCCTCTTAGGGTTTAGCACAGTAGCTACCTGTAGCAGTTCCAAGTTGGTAAACAGAGAGCATTGTAGGGACTATGACAAAGACTTCTGTGATGTTTAATGACCCTGGCCAGAATTCATGTGTTTAAGAGAAGCTGGGATCACCTATGACAATGTTCCTTTATTTCAAAGCTGCCTTTGTTGCTCTGCTTCTGTGCCCATTGACTTAAACAACATCAGCACATAACAAATAATCACTGGTATGACTTTACTGTCAATTAATCCTTTACTATTTAATAATCCTGTAAATTACTGATTAAGAAAATGTTTTAAAAATTGCACCCGTAGTGACCTGATACAAATTGTACTCTCCGATTATGATGCTTGTGTCAAAGCAAACGTAAGCAATGAATGGTTTAGGTTTGTGCTGATACTAACTTTTGAGATCACATTGAGACATGCCAAATTAAAACCAGCTCAATAACATTGTGTGGATCCTCTTTGCGGCATCTGTCATGACCTGAAGTTCACAAACATTTATCAGGCATGTTAGCAGCAGATGCTGCAATACATCTGCAATTCCATCTGTATCTGCAGTACAGAAACAGCTTGCTATACACCCTAATCCTTTTTATGTGCATCAACTTCAAGAACTGACTGTTCACTTGCTGCCTGATGCATCCCACCCACTGACAGCTGCCATTGTAACGAGATAATCAGTGTTATTCACGTCACCTGTCAGGGGTTTTAATGTTGTGGCTGATCGATGTGGTATTAGTAGACATGAGTGGGCACGCCGTCACCCTCAGCTGTGGCTGTTCAGCAGCAATTATTAACCACAGCAGCTAGAAAGATGACTGACAGAGCTCGTTCAATCGGCTCTCTGTGAGACTCGTTTAGACAGACTGTAGCTCAAACTGTGACTGTTTTGGCTGTTAAAATTAGAGCTAATTTCTAAAAGGTGTAACACTAACTAAATGCAGTTCATGTGTTTGTGTGCAGTTAAAGTTCTAATAGTTCCAGTTCACCGAGACACATGCATAAAACCACAAATCTAACCACAAATGTCAGAGCATATCCACAGACAGAGCTGCTGCAGAACTGCTCAGTGCATTAAAAAGGGGCTTTGCATGCCTTTTTGGGGGGAGAGTGCTACTGGAATATCAAGGGACAAAGATGAAACTAAGTTGGCTGTAGGCAAAAGTTTGTCTGATGATATCATGCAGACATTTATTCCACGAACATTCAACTTTTTTATTAGTTGCTTCCCCTGTCAAAATAATGATTAATTCAAAAAAAAAAAAAAAGTGTGGTGGGTGGCTGTGAGTTTCTAAATGCCAAGAAAAGTTTGAGGACCACTGCATTATATAACGTGTCCCATCATCTCTCTTTTTTTTTTTTTTTTTTTTACTTCTGCAGAGTTTCCCTAAACTGAGCAAAAACATACATTTCAATGTGAGGGACCTAAAAGTAGACTGGTGATGAATATATACATTTAAAATGAAATCTTTGACAAAATAAAGAAAGAAAAATGACCTAGCAATATTTAGATGTGTTCCTGGAAAATATGCAAAAGTACAAAATGTTTTTCTCACATGCTTTGAAGGTTTGAGGGTCAGTCCACGAAAATCCATCAGAGCCTCCCACCTGACTTGCTCAGAATAAACCATTTTTTTATGTTCAGTAACTGTAGTATATTTATTGAAGCCAAGCAACATTTTACTTTCATACTAGGAATATTTTTAGTCACAGGCCCTTGAAGTACCTAAGGTTGGTTCTAAATTTCTAATAACTACAATTATTATACATAAAGCAACAGCTGATTCTGAGGGGATCAGGTGGAAACTTTTTTTCATTTGGGTGATTGACACCACTGATTGACACCTGATAACATCAACAGCAACCACCATCCATGCAACAGCACCACCTGTAGTCACACAGGTGCCTCGTCGCCTTGCAGAGCAGCACACAGCTGCAGCACAGGCATGCGAGCCGTTATCTGTGCAGCTAGCTGTTAGCGTACAGTCAGACTGTCTCCAAAAGTTAGTTTGCCCAACACACACACACACACACACACACACTTGTGTTGCACTTACTGTACCTTGGTAGGATGAACAATGCCAAAAGAGTTTGACTCAGGGAGCTGGTGCAGCTGTAGCTCTGTCCTAATGAAGAATCATCAAAAGGAATTTATCCAAAATATGTTCAAGTGTCAATTATGATGAAAAAAACATATTAAGGTAACAGGTCTTTACTATATTTGAGTGAGTTTACTGTTGGAACATGAACAGCACTTCAATCCTAACTTAGGTAAAAGCACATATATAAGAACAGAAGAATACTATGCAAGTTGCAAGTGCTTTAGTCAAGGTCTCACTTAACCTTCTGGGCTCCAAGCAGTTTCTAGGTGTTTTGTGATCCTGTCATATTTTTCCTCACTGTTGGTTCTTTTTTTTTCTACAATATAAAGTCCTGCACCTCCATGGAAACAGCACAACCATGACAAGAGAACTCAGACATCTATTCTGTGCAGTATGATGCAGTTTTGTCATAAATCATAACAAATGAAAAAAAGTTTAATTTCTCTGAATATTCATCTTACAAAGATTGAAAGAAAGTGGTGTTAGCAACACTGGAACATGTGTCTCTGCGAACTATATATATATGTTCAACTATTTACATTTTTACAAGAAACTTTTCTCACACTGCTCTGGACATCAACTCTAGAGAGATGTTTCACCACGCCTAATGTATCTTCCATCAAGTTGCTCCTCTGTGTACTTTTTTCAATCAGCTGCATTTATTTAATTGATCCAGTATGTTTTATTTCCCTCTAAATCTCTCTTGTTGTCTCCTCTCTGCTCAGTGAAAACACAGTTCACCTGAAAACTGTAAAATATTTGACAGTTTGGACTGTTTGGAGGAGAAATGTGTATTTAGTTAGTGAAACTCCTAACAACTCATAGACGTTTAAAACCCATCTTTTTGTGTGTGTAAGCTGCTATGAGGTATCATGGTCTGAACGGCCAGGAATACAACCATGGGTGTTGCACGTTGTTCATTAGGCTACTAAGTAGAGTTGCAACTAATCAATATGTAATTGCCAAATAGTCGGGTGATTAATGTTTTAAATAATTATTTAGTTGTTTGGTCTATCAAATCAAGTTTGTTGTCATTTTGCTGTACATACACAGTAGTACAGGCAAGATGAGAGAGCGTTTCTTCAGGATTATTCAACCAGCAAGTTTTGCGGAATGCACGTCTGGAATAAGACACTAAACCTTCACTTCGTTGTCTCCTGAAGGGTCCACTGCTTCCATGTGTGCTGCCATTCGTTAAACATGGCGAACCTCTTCAGGTCCTGGTAGGTCTTCATGGACACAAAGACACACGATGGTGTAACGATGGTGAAGCCGCAGATGCTGCCCAGAGCTAGCTGTCTGTCTGTCTGTCCGCCCAGAGGAATGTCGCCTCCTCCAGCTGTATGTCCGTCTGGGATGTTGTCATGGAGCCATGTGTCTGTTAAAGCAAACACACAGCAGTCCCTCCGCTCTCTGCAGGTTTCTCTCAGCAAACGTAGCTCGTCCAGCTTGTTGTGGAGGGAGCAGACATTGGAGGTTAGGAGCGACGGTCCTGCTGGTCTGGAGGGGTTAGCCTTTAGCATGGATTCCGGCTCTCTTCTGCTGTGTTCACACCAGACGCGAATTCATCGCGCTATTCGCGCGATATGCGCGTATTTGGAGGCGAGTGTGCACTGAGTTTATTCGCTTCATTCGCGCGTATAAATCGCGTCAATCGCACATCAACATTTGTGTCTGAATTCAAGTCATTGGCGCGACTGACGCGATCCAGACGTCGGATCCATGGGATCCCCAAGAGACACGTACAGCTCGGGGAATTCCCCCACCTTCTCCAGGAGCTGCGCCTGGATGACGGCCGCTTCCAGCGCTGTTTTCGGCTGATCCGGACCCAGTTTGACTACCTGTTGGAGAGGATCGGTACCAGGATATCCCTCCAGGATACTAACTACAGGCGCTCGCTGAGATAGAGCTATGTTTTTTCAGTGCCACATACAACAACACGGATCGCAAAAGTTCAGATTTTTCAACTTGCTCTTTAGACAATCGCGCCGCAGGACGTTTACTCGCGTCTAATCGCGTCTTCACATTGACTTTACGTGTAAATCATTCGCGCGAATGTTTTTATTCGTGTCTGTTGTGAACACAGCATTCCTCCTTTGTTTACATGCGCTTCCTCCATGTTGGTGTAGAATGTCCAAATCACAACCGATCGCTGCAATTCCAGCGCCGTTCACTGTTCAGACCCCTACAAAGTCTCCAGGCTGCAAGTTTTGCGGAATGAACGTCTGGGATCAACAAGACACTCAAAACGTTCACTTTCGTTGTCTCCTGAAGTGGCCGCTGCGTCTATGCGCGCCGCCATCACCATGGAAACAAAAATGTCAGAAAATTGTGAAAAATGTCCACAAGTGGTTCCCAAAGCTCAGGCTGACACATGTCTTGTTTTGTTCACAACTCAAAGATATTCAGTCATAGACGAGGAAAGACACCGGAAAGTATTCACTTTTATAAAGGTCGCAGACTTAGTCTTGTTAGTCTTAAAAAATGACTTGATGAATTGAACAAACTGTTGCAACTCTACTAAATGCTCAGTTTGTCATGTTCTATTTGAATCTATATCTTAATTTTCGATCTATATCAGTCAATTAAATGTACAGTAGTGGTAGTCGTAGTATTTTAGCCGTAAATGTTGTCAGGTGAAAGTACTGTAGTTAGTTTTTGTGTAAATCTACATAGCTACTTTCTGTTGAGATTACCTCATCTCGGTGCTGAGTCCTGCCAGCAAGTGAGAGAAGACGAGGAAGTTGCTCTCTCCGTGAGTTTTCTGACACACTTTCCATTTGTCCAACATCATCGTCTGATTTATGGAGTAGCAGGAGAGAGAAGGGACCGAAGAAGACATGAGTCACTATGCATGCAACCACTTCAATATAACAGTAAGTGTGTGTGTGTGTGTGTGTGTGTGTGTGTGTGTGTGCGCGCGCTGCGTGCCTGTAGGTGTCCAGCAGCAGCCTGTCCAGCGTGGTTAAAGTCCAGAGAGAAGACCATGGCAAATCGAGATGAAGCGTCGCTGTGCTGGGAGCTCACACAGCCAAAAGACCTGAGGATGGTGAACATGGCCTGCACACGCTCCACTGGTGGAACAAAAACAAGACATAAGCTGTTATCATTTCAGCTGCTGCACCGTCTGTGAAAAAGGAAAAAAATAAACTTATATTTTATACCAACAAACATTTTTGAGTTTGGTGAAATACCACATAATTTCAGCGTAGATCCAACTTAAAATGTTAACTTCTGTTAACGTCACGTGACTTGTCTTCAACATGGTTTGCATTAAAGATGGAGTCTGGGATTTTAATCCAAAATAGTTTTTGGCAAATACTGTGGGGGGATATCTACCACTGCTCTGGACACTGGGCCACAGGGTCAATCTAACTCAACCAATGGTCTTATACAAAATAGGTTGTCAGGGCAGTGCTGCAAAAGATCACTTAGAAGTAAACGTGTTTTGTCTCCTCTGCTATAGTCAAGCCAAAAACAAAGCCAACGTAGAAATGCTACAATCAGCAGCATTACCAAACAACAACTGATTAAATATGAACAAAAACTGAGCAAGATCTGCAAGGTGGCACAGTTGGTAGCACTGTTGCCTCGCAGCAAGAAGGTTGCCAGTTCGCGTCCCGGTGGGGGCACCGGGATCTTTCTGTGTGGAGTTTGCATGTTCTCCCCATACAGTGTGGGTTCTCTCTGGGTTCTCCGGCTTCCTCCCACACAGTCCAAAAACATGTTGAGGTTAATTGGTGATTCTAAAGGTTAATTGGTGATTCTAAAGGTTAATTGGTGATTCTAAATTGTCCGTAGGTGTGAATGTGAGTGTGCTTGGTTGTCTGTCTCTGAGTGTGACCCTGTGACAGACTGGTGACCTGTCCAGGGTGTCCCCTGCCTTCGCCCTAAGTCAGCTGGGATAGGCTCCAGCACCCCCGCAACCCAAGTGAGGATTAAGCGGTGTATAGATAATGGAAAAACTGAGCAAAGTGGATGTCCTGTGCTGATTTGCTGTTTTACAAACATGATTTGGGCTCCTGCTTGATTTCCGGTCTTCTCAAACACATTGGCTCTGGCCAGAGATCATGAAGCGTCACAGAAGTCGTTGTCATGGTGGTGCTAGCTAAATTTCCTCAATGCTATCTGTTTGCTAAAACCGAACTATTCAGAAGGAGCAGCTTGGATGCAAAAATGCAATTTTTTGTAATTTATTGCAGAGCTACTCAGTTGTCAAGCATTGATATTAAATTGATTTTAACAACTTAAACATGCTTAAAGTGTGTATTATTTAGGAAATTGGGTTGGTAAGATCAGCAGATACAAAATTTTTAATAAGTTGAATCAGATCAGGGCCAAAAAAAACTTGACTGGGATATCCCTGTTCTTCTGGGCACAAGTCAATTTCATCTGCCTCCACTTGCTCTCTAGGATTTACATCGAAATACACAGTCTTGGTTCTGTAAATGGGGGGAAAAAAAGTGTCTCGGACCGATCCTTGCAACTCTGTTCCACTGTGTTCTGTGCACATTTGCACTTGTGCAACAGCAGCCCAGGGACAAAGGAACACGGACAAGAGATGGCGGAAAAGATGGCAGCCGGAGCAAACGGAACAGTCAATGTGGCACATGTCAACT